AGCACTGTACCAGCTACCAGGAAGGAAATTAACTCTATCCCTGCCAAAGCCAGGACAGTGAGCAAGGAAAGTATTCTAGTGTCGTACTCTAGTGCCTGTCCTTGTCTCTGTCAGCTCCTTTTAGCTCGTTTCCCTCCCGTGCTTTCTCATCTCCTTTTGTGCAGAGGTCTTCACTCTCATCTGTGGAGTTCCAAAACTGAACTGGAAATGGTGGTACTTGTTACGAATCCTTCTTGGTCATCCTGCTTACTGAAAACGTGACTTCATTCTAAAAAGCTATGCAGTGTTTGTTTTGTATTTTAGAAGCTTATTACACTAAAATACCACATATTTAATTTTGGGAAGTACATTGAGTACTGGAAGAATGTACATTTTTATGGAATCTGAGATTTGTGTGCACTGTGTTGAGGGTCTTAGCCAGGGGAAAAGGAGATTTATTAAACCTGGAAAAAGAACTGACTAGAAGAAAGAACTGACCAGGACCTTCCCAGCTCTGTTTGTATTCTATAAACAGTACTTTATCAGCACCAAATATAGTGTAATTTCCTGAGCTCGGTTTACTTTTATAAACTTGTTTAGATGCTGTCTGTCTTCGCTCAGTATGGGATAAACAGGAGGATTAAATAATTTATCAGCATGACTGTAAGCAGTGGACAGCAGTAAACAATAATGTTCTGACGGGGGATAGTACATCCCATCCACTCTGAGACTTGTAAACAGAAATGAAACAAAATGGCATGCAGGCAATCAAACTAGACTGCATTAAAAACTTGGAATATTCTGTTTTTCTACAGTGTCCCCGCTGATCCAGGCTTGACAGGGTGAAGTGGGGAGGAGGAGTTCCTCCTTGAATAGTTGCATAATTGAGATACAGAACGAGCATATGTTATGTTCAGCTAACTGTGGGAACTTTAGATGTGCTTTATAAAATGTGTTAATGACAAGAATGTTGTAGCTTCCAAGGCACCAGGCTGCTGGCGTCACTTAGTCCTTAATTGGAGGTTTATATGAGACCTCATTTTTTGGGTACTGAAACTTATGAATACAAAATAATGTGATAACTGAGACACACACACTGTTGGTATTAAAGAGCACACGGAGTAGCTAGTCTGACTTGTCTGTATCATCTATTCCAGTGTTAATATATGTTGTTGCATGTTTTTAGAATTACAACTTTCCACTTTCTATCTGTCTGGACTTCTTGGTGTTTTCAATTCAAGTTTGTACAGGCTTATGTTTGTTCCCAAAGGTCATCTGGAAGGGATTTTTTCTTAACAAATTGAGGTTATGCATGTTATTTTTATGAAGCAGAAAAACAACTTGAAAAGGCTAAAAAGAAATTCTGTTTTCATTAACCTTCAAAATATCAAGACTGTCAGCCCAGGTCTTCTGCGATTATGCTGAAGGACTGAGATATATACTGTTAGCTCCTGAATCTTAAATAAAGCAGCATATGTGTTGAATCTTTAATAAATTCATCTTTTATCCAAAATGTTAGGCACTGAAGTGAAGTGGGTGTTAGTAAAAACAAACAAAAGCGGAGTTTTGAGACTTTGGCTTAAAATCCCTTACTCCTGTTATTACATCTCTTTCTGTTTGCTCCTGCAGCTTGCCTTCCCAGTTAATCTCTGGTTGTTGCGTGCCCCGGTTAGCCAAGACCCAACTTCTCAATGTGAGAAAACTTGCAGGGTAGGGAGCTGGTGTCTAAAGGCAGCTGCTCTTCTCTCCACCCTGTCCTGCTTGGCTATTTGTCTTAGGCGTGGAAATAATAGTCTCTAATCTGCTCTTGAAAGTTTGTGGAGTTTTTGTGCTGTTCGTAAGGAACTTGGTAGCAGTAAGACGGGTAAGTAGCTGGCTCAGGGATATCACTGTCAGTTTGAGGACTCTTGTCTATGGGAGGTGGTAATGTTTCTCCTCCAAGGACAGGCCTTGTATCTGTGAGGCTTGGTTTTAGCACTTGGTGCTTTTCTCCTTGTTGCAGTTTGAAACTGTGAGTAGTGTTGTGGCAACCATCAGACCATTTGCTGTCAAGAAAACAAGGGCTAGTAACAGTCTGAGCTGGTTTCAGGGGTCAGGCTTTCTGTTTTCCCTTAAAGAGCCACCCATTCCCTCCATGAAGATTACAGTGGTTTGTGCAGAGGCTGTCAGCCTGGGAGTTTTATCTTTGGGAAAAGGTGCAGGACAGGTAAGCTCCATTTCCTCTGTAGTTTTTCTGATCTGCATACTGGTTTTGGAAATTTATAGTATCTTCTGATATTTCTTCCCCAGTTGCTTTGGGATGTTACATGTGCAGTCATTTGTGAATAATGACATGGGTTTAACTAGCAGGTAGTCTGAGTGCGATAATGTTGTGCCACTGCAGAGTTTTTCTGGATCTTTAATAGTAATCCAGGCTGCAACTGCCTGAATGTTGGCTTCCTTTGCATCTTACTGTTTACCTGAGATAGGAACCTTTTGGTGGAAGGAGGTGCTGAGGAGGTTGCTATCCCATGTTTTAGTGGCTTGAGATTTTCAGGAATGATGCACAGAAGCTATTGTTTGACTTACACATTAATAGGAAATTGTCTTCTCTTTAACGTGAGCTATTTATTGCAGCAAATTAAAGCTCAGTGCAAATTTCTGTCAACTTCTTGCTCTTTTTCCTCAGCCTTCTCCCCATGTCCCTCTCTGATGCTCCTGCCCTCCCTGCCTCTTGTTTCTGTACCCTTTCTTCTGGTTGTCTCCCCTTCTCATCTCTCTTTGGCGCATGTGTTTTACTTCTGTTTTCTTGGCCAGCGTGGCTGCGTGTTCCTCTTTCTCCTCCCCTTTTCCCCTGAAAAACACTCGGGCCTCTGTCAAAGCTGATCATTAGGCAATCCGTGGATTTTTGTTGTCGTAAAAAACAAGCCTGAGACAATAACCCTGTGGTCAGGGTGCTGTAAACACTGGCTGGTGGATCCTGGCAGGCTTCTGATGCATCTGGGTACGTCTTCATCTAGCCAGCACGGCTGGCTCAGATGCATTGTCCAAGTGGTGGCTTGTCACACTTGCTGCCATGGACCAGAGAAGCAGCATTTGTCATGTCTCAGATGGTAGTCTGCTGGTGCTCGACTCTATGGACTTCAGTTTTTCTCACTTGTTAAGTTCTGTAAACAGGAAAAAGGTTTTACTTGTTATTCCTGTAGACAGGAGAGGAGTAACCCTTTTATACTCCATGGAAACTGCATGTATTCAGCATTATATCAGTTTAATGTGTGGTTCTTTCTAAGTCAACCTGGTAAAAAATATAATTGAATTTGTTCCATGCACATACTTGGTCAGAGCTGCTTGTTTAATGACTGAAACAAACATACATGTGTTACTTTTTTTCTCTAACTACTCCTGTAGGAGTCGGAAGGGAATGACCTACCTTTGAAGCTCTACTAGATAATAGAAATGCCACTTAAACTCGAGCTATTTTTGTGACTGTGCAAAGCACCACACGTGTGTGCGAGAGCCTAGAGTCCAGGGACCCTGAAGTACTGAGGTGTATCTGAGGAACTGCATTGTTTTGTAAACCTTTTAAGTCTGAGAAGAAAGGAGCAACTTGGTTGTAGCTCTGGTGCACCGTTATTTCCCAGCTATGGAGAGAGGGTTAAACTGTGATTTGCTTTTTTTTTTTCCCTTGGGGTAGTCCATATCTGTGCCTATTTTTCTTTTTCCTGCCCACCTTTTCTTCCCCCATAGAATTGAAATGGCAACAGAGCCCCTCTGTAGTACGTTTGTATAGGGACTAAACCCTTGGGAAGCCAAGGTACTCACCAGGACCGGTTATTGCTTTTTTAAGTACTAGTCTGGTGGTGATTTTTTAGGACAAAGACTTTTTTTTACAGGACTGTTCTTTGCAATTTTAGCTAAAAGCAAGAACTAACCCATTCTAACTCTGTGAGTCTTGTTAGTGAGGGCAGGGGGAGGGATTTGTTGAATCCTCTGAGCTATCTCCCTCCTGGAAATGCGTGCCTGGCTGGTAGCTAGAGATGAGGCTGGTAGCCAGGACAGAAAGCTCTTGCTTGTTCTCTGCCTGTGTGTGAAGGATTTGTTTATTGCCTGCTGCACTTATGCATCAACACTGCTGTGCACTTCACTTTTTAAAGCGTTTTTTACACACCATCTTCTAGAAATGCTGGTTCTGAAGTTTTTCTTGGAGTTGCAAGTGGTGTGCATGCTTCCAAGGTGCTTTGAGGGTTGTATGTAGTAGTTTTTTGCCTCCATCATACTGAGTATGACCTTGGGGTGACAACATGGATATTGATAAGTAATAACTTGGCTGTGTTACCAACTTGCAGTTTAGCTTTAGCATGAATTTGTTGTCACCTTTAATTTTAACATGGGGAGATTTGCTTACTGTTGTAGAATTTACTTGTGACTATTTGCATCCTTAGGATGCTGTGAGAGCTCTTAAGTTTTTTACCAGTGTGTATATCTAGCTAAGAAAGTACTCTTCACTTAACGCTAGTTTACATGCACACAGATAGTTTTTCATGCTATTCATTACTGGTGTGGTGCTTTCACCACTGGGTTAACTTTGTTCTGGAAAGGAGGCAGAAGCAGAAACATGAAGCAACTTTTGCTGCTTGACTTGCACAATTTAGCCTAGAATCAGATGCTGCTCTTAACTGGACTCTGGCTTCTGGGACATTCTGTGTGTAATCCTGACAACGCGTGTGCTAGGAAATAAGTGTTTAACTGCTCTTGTTAAGTGTTGATAAGTATTTTGTCTACTTGTGTTAATAAATACATGCTTGCTTAATAATTCCTAGAGTTTATAGTGATCTTAATCTTCTGAATGTCTTATAAACTGGACAGTGAAGAGTAAGCGTCAAAATAAATTCAATGTTGTATTTATAAAGAAAAAATTCTCTTACATTTTCAAGCTCGCAATCTATAAGGCATTTTAAATACGAGAAGTATGCTTGTGGTTTTTTTTTTCTAAGCTTTCTTTTTCCATTCCTGTTCTTTGCTGCCATTTGTGTTACATGCAGGCAACTGGAGTTATTTCGGATGGGGAGAGCAGCTGAGTACGTAACAGTTTGATTTCTTGCAAGTTTTCTGATCCTATAGTGATGCAGCATGCTCCAGTACGAGGAAAGTGAAAATATTCATGCATATAGAAAATCTATTCCATTGTATTTTCTTTTACTTTCACTGAACCTTCATATTTGCGTGGTTGGATGGCTGTTCATTTTTTCACTGTTTAGCTTTGTTTTGGCCATGTTTTAAATGAGTTGCTTGTGCCTTCTGCTGGAATTTGAGGATAAGATGGCAGAATTGGACTATTATTCTTTTCCTGTAAAGTTGATTCTGGTTTTTTGCTTGTATACATCTTTTTGTGTTGGTCTTCATACCCACGTAAGCCCAACTCAATGTTTGGACTCACTGAAAAACGCAAGGGAGTCTGTAGCGGTTGTTTTACTCAGATGCAAAGATATGCTGGAAGTGATCACAGAAATTCCAAATACTACAAAAAGGAGCAAATCTGAAAGCAGAAATGGCTGGTGCACACCAGTGTGACAGAAGGGTTGTAGGTATTGTAGCATATTCAAGCTCGGTGAGACAGTATCATGGTGAAAGCGGTAGGGCTTTGCTTTAACTAGCGCTTACCAGCCTTGGAAAGATAAAACTCAGATACTGCAGCTGTCTGTGATCTGTAGAGCTAATGCCTGCACCTGAAGACTGGTGTGATAACTTTCGCAGAGGCCACAAGGTTTTTGTTAACTTTTCCAGAAAATGTGCATGAAGCATCTTCGCTTTCTGGAAGTCCTACAGGTTCCAGCAGGCAAGGCTTCTGCTCAAGATACAGTGCATGGCTTCTACTGCCCATAGGATCTGCGGAGATTGATCCATCAGTCTTAAAACAAAGGTGTCTGTTCTCTGTGTCAAAGCCAAGAGCGAAGGTGTTGCTGAGGGGAGCATGCAAAGAAAGATCACTGTGACTGCTGTCAGCAGGGAGGATATTCTGCCTGAGCATTTTCCATTTCTGACATAATGGAATTTGGAGAGGACACTCTTACTGCAGCCAAGTAACTTAAGTCTATTCACACATGGACCTGTTCTGCATTTTAGAAGTCTTCCACCAGTGACTCCCCAGTTTCTCCTCCCACAACATGTTTTGTCCTCCTTGTTCTCCTGTCTTTGATCAAACCATAAGTTCTTTGGGCAGCAACAGTATTGACCAACTTCATGCTGTGAGCGTTAGATGTCTCAATTGTTTGGGGTTATTTTCAGAGGTGTGATAGGACAACTGAGAATTAACTAAACTTTTGTATACTACTAAAACAAAGATTAGTGTCCTAAATAGATTTCTTTTATTCCCAATTTTGTGCGTTTGGGAGGGAAATAGGGTGCTTAGGCATTGGTCAGTCAGAGATTTAAGAGGGCTGTGCAGAAGGTATTTCTGCTGTTTATCTGGAGCGTGGATGTGTGGTGTTTTTGTTTTAAAAGGTACTTGTATTAATGGAGTGAGCTCCCGCCCTCTAACTTCATCCTTCCTGTGCTGTCCTCTTTGAGATCATGTTAACATCCTTACAGGCAGGCTTGGGCCAGTGTTGATAATGTTTCCAAGTGAACTCCATTAGCGTGACGATGTAATGAAATATATACTGCTGATTGTAAACTTACAACAGCAACTGAGAAGGAAGCAGCAGAAATGGCATGTTGGTAGCTGGGAGACATTTTCCTGGTGAGAGCTTCTTGCAAGAGGAGTGCTGTAGCCCAGAGCCTTGCTAGATGGGCAGAGGTGCTTTAGGAAAGGGACATCTTGTGCTGCTGACCTGATTTCATTTTAGGAAAGGGAAAGACTTAAAGTAGGGTAAGTGTTCAAGGCAGTCTTTGCACTTGAGACTGCCTGTCCAGTTCTTGACTGTTGAGTGTTTCAGCAGCAGAAAGTTATTTTCAAGTGGGAAAAACAAGGTTATAAAAGCTCTCAAACTGAAGACTGAATATTGCTAATTTTCTTTCTTAAAATTATGAAAATTTATAATGTATTTTTAAGTGGTGAGGGCAATAGGATGGACTAATGACCTGCAAAGTTGCACTTAAATCATTGCTGAAAAGCTTTTGAGTTTTTAGCATTGAGAGCTATAGAAGAGCCTCAAAAAATGCCCTCGTGTCCTTTTGAGATTTTTTTTTCTTCTTGTTACTTCAGTAGTCCTCTTTAAACTTCTCTGCATTTTAATTATAAGATTTCAGAAAGTGTACGTGATTGTCAGAAGTGACTGATGGTTCAATAGGCGATGGAGTATTGGGGTCTGAGACTTAGGGAAAGAAGTTATTGGCAGCTATCGTGAAAAGCAGTTTAAATGGATGAAGGGTGGGGAAGGTGGTTGCAAAGGCCCTGGTGTGGAGCTGGCAGAGATCTCTTCTGGACTTGGACTGGAAGTCATTCCTTCACTTAGTACACTTTCTTCTCTTTTACTGTTATAAAAATAGACAAAAGCTGTGAAAAGCTTGGTGGCTTATTTTGGAGAAGTAGCGGGGATTTTGGGATACAGAACCTTGCATGAATCTCCTTCTTCCCGAGTGCCTGAGTGTGCTGCACTTACTGCTTTTGTCCAAGTTTTTGCTCAAGTTTCTAGAGCATAATAAGCTCCCAGTGGCTGATGACACATCACTGCTAGAAAAGCAGGAGGCAATTTCAGCTGAATGCAGCCTTTTGAGAGGAGCTCCTGCTGTGCATTGGGACCTTAAAACAACAAAACGCTTCTGAAAGTGCATTCATCCAGCCACCTGTAATAATTTTGCTGTTAGCTTTCCTTCCTGTCCTGAAGCTTGAGGTAACAAAAGTTGCCAGAGGTTAAATATGGCTAGTAGAGCTGGCGTGACAGGACTGTGCAAAATGGTTTTGAGGTCAGGATATTAAAAGCTCTATGTGTTCTTCCCTGCAGCAGTGGTGTAATAACTTCTAGAGGCAGGAGTGGGGAGGAATAACAGGGTTTCCAGGAGGCAGTTTGTTTCAGAGAAGCTATCTCCTTTCTTGATTTTTTTTCCCCACTCTTTGTGAAATCCTACTGTGTGATGTGGCTGTCCAATGGGTTTTCTTCTTATGCTGCCTATATGCATGAATATTCAATTATTAAACATGAACAGCATGCTTCTGCCCTGCCCCTTCAGCCTTACCCCCCCCACACTCTCTACACAGTGGGTCCAGCGACAAAGAAACAGTTTTCATCCCTTGAGATCTCTTTGGTACATGTGAAATTTCTCCAACTGGGTTAAAACAATTACTGACTTATGTTTATTGTTATGTATCTTGTTATTAATTAACCGATCTTCAGAGACTGAGGCTAAGCTACAACTTTCCATATGGAAGACTTGATGTATCATCTGTTTGAAGAAGATAGTGCTTGAATTTATCACATCATGTGTGTTGTGAGGGATATTTTGCTGAAACATGGGCTGTAATGCCTGACCCCTCTTTTTGAAGGGATGCTGCATCCCCAAAGCTGCTTCTGCAAGTTCTTGTCAGTCTCTTGCTTAAATAAAATTTAAGTGTCAAGTATGTTGATGAATGGGATCATCACCGTGTGCAGGTATTTCATAGTATACTTTCTTGCAAAGGTAATGTGTGCCGCGAGCCACATACGGGCTAGGTTTTGGTGCTTTTAATCAGGCTGAGCAATGTCTTCATCTATGAACACTTCTGCTAAACGAAGTGAGATTGCTCATAGGGTAGGTGCACGTCAGCATGAATAAGAGTTTCTGGAGTTGGCCCATATTTATGAGTCAGTTGAGGATTTCTGCCTGGTATTAACATCTATGGATGCTGTAGGTGCATGGCGCATACATCAGAGAATCAATGCGTTCCTGCCTCATCGATGTTTGTGGTAGCTGGAGCCTTGCATCCTTTAAACATGTCATTGGGGAGGCATTTTGTGTCATGACCTCTAAGAGACTTCCTCATGCTAAACACCAGTAAGAACTGGGAGAAATTCTGGTGCCACCTTTTATAAACATATATGCTGTAAATGTTTGATTAACATTTAAGCTAATCAGCTATTTTTAGATGTTGCTTAGAGATACTGTGGTTCACATGGGAAATCTTCGTTTGATAGTGCAGAGGTGAGATGCGATGACTGGTTAACAAGTCTGGATAGTGCTTCTGCAACAGTCCGATCAGGGAATTCGGAAATCTCTGAGCCCATCGGCTGGGCAGAGTCGCTGACCCGCAGAAGCTGTGTCCTGCTGCCTGCTAACCAATCATGTAAGTCTTTGCCCATCCTGATACTAAGTTTAGCCCGGTTTAGTGAGTTACTGGATTCACTATTGTTTTGACCCAGATAATTGTACTGCTGATTTGTGTTGGTGATTATACTGTTGTGGTGAGATAAATTGTTTACCCCTAAAGCTGTTGGTCTGGTGTCTTTTACCAGATCCCAAACCTGTAACTCAGTTGGGCTGCCTTAAGCCCCTACTTATAAAGATTATGCAGACACAGCTAGAAGAACTTTGCATCATATCAGAGTTATGTAGGCTTTACCTTAAATAAGAGTTACATCTGATGGGAAGAGGACATTAGTCAAGCAGCAAAGTGAGGCATTAGAAAGCTCTTTGAAACAGTGTTTCTGTCCCAATAAAAGTAATTGTTGTGCATTAGACGATAATGGCTCAAGCGTTCAGAAATTACATTGCTCAACTGAGTAATAGCTCATTATCCTTCGGAAGATGGTGTGTGATCTACAAATAGATAGGTCCTTGCTCCACAGACTGGGAGTTTGGTGCTTTGGCACTTCAAATCATTTTTGTGTAGTACATCCTGAGTGTTTCTCCTAAGCACTGAACTGTAATGAAATTGATGGACATTGTGCTTTTAATAAAGCTGAATAAAGCAGTATACGATTTCTATTCATTTCTATTCAATTGACTGGAGACTGACAAGAACTATGCAGCATTTAAACTACTAAAAAGCAGGAGGCTTAGCTCCATTTTCAGTGTGGACAATCAAATTGAATTGACTACTTAAGAGAGTAGAGCCAGGCTTTTTCAAGTGGTTTGTATTTTGCAGACACGTTTTCTGCTGGAGTTGTTTCCTACTCTTCCATCCGCTTTAGGGAACTGATATAATCATACTCAGTTGGGAAGGAACGGGAAAGATCACCAAGAGCAAACTTTACCTTGGATTAAAAAAATGGAAATGGAGGTGTGGGAAGCGCCAGTGGAAGAAAAAGGTGTTCCCTGATGCTGTATTCCATCTCCTTGGAATTTTAGCAATTAAATTCAGGGTTTTTTTAAGGATCTGGCATAAAACCAGCACTTTCACTTTATTGTTCAGTCTCAGGGTGAATGGCTGTGTAGGGCACACACCGTTGAATAACTTACCAGTGGGGACTTTAATTTGATTGTCCTTTTTAGACAGGCTTTTGGTGGCGGAGAGAGTGAATAATGGCTGATCCTTATTTTCTTTTGTTTCAAGCGTGTTAGTGGTGCACTCCACTGTTGTACGGTGTGTGTATTTCACTTTAAGCTTGCAAAGATAACCTTCCATTCTGCACAGCCAAACACAGCTGCACATCAGTATTGTACTTTTGATACCTTTCCCTACTATAACTCTGCGTTTTCTTTTTCTGAAGGGTTAGCAAGCAGAAGTGTTTCTGCAGGGAGAAGGACTCATTGGAAAGGAGCTTCTTCCTTTGTGAAGGCTATCATTAGTGTTGACTACTAAACTTAAGCTAATGTACTTGTGTGTGTTAATTGTAGCAATTTTTCTCCTATACGAAGTAGTATAATTGTTTATAAGTGGACCTGTTCTCCCAGTTCTTCTGATTTTCCTACTAAGTGCTTTTCATCAGTTTCTCTTAACTTAAACTAATACTTAAAAAAAAAAGAAAAAAATTCAGAACCCTAAAGTACTGGTTAAGGATGCTGAGAAGAAGAGATAGTATTAAAGGTTTAAAAGTATAGCTTAAAGTTTAAAAGTTTCCAGGAAAGAGCTCCTTTCCATAAAGGAATGTTTGGTTTTGTTTTTTTTTTCCCCAACATCTAAATGTTCATTTTGGCAGCAGCAAAGAACCTGAAATTTTGGGTGTTGGGGTGTTTTGTTTGTTTGATTTAAATAAAAATGTCTTAATCTGCTTATTAGGAATGATTAAAGATAAATAAACTCCTATAATAGGAAGTGGGAAAGGAGGTTATGGAGATGATCACAGGAATTCCTTGGTACATACTTGAGAGAACTGGAAGTTATAACCAGCTACGAGATGGAGAGACATCCATAGCAGAAATAGCCTTTTTTGTCGTTCTTTAACAACTAAATGGGCTTCACTGTCCCAGCAAGGCAACTTGAGAGAGCTGTGCCCTTAACTGCTTTTGTTTCTTAGCCTTTGAAGATGCTGACAGTGCTGTGGATGATCGAGATAGTGACTATCGCAGCGAGACGAGTAACAGCATTCCTCCTCCGTACCACACGACTGCGCAGCCCAATGCCTCTGTGCACCAGTTCACTGTACCATCACGCCTGCAGCAGCAAGGGGTCTTGCGGGAATCCTGCGCTGACTCCCTGCAAAACTACGATCTGGATTATCGGGAGCATGTAGCCATCAGGTGGGTGCTGTCTTCTGGGTAGCTCTTCTTTTCCCATTGATTTTCCATAGCAGACCCTGAAGGTGCCATGTTAGTAGAGGAAGGCAGCTCAAGGGCTCTGAAAGGCTTCTGACAGGAAGGTGTTAGATGTTTTGTTAACACTGGGACTCAGCTGTGAACCAGGAAGAACCCATAAGGCTATGTGTTACACCAGATCCAGCAGTTTAGTGAATTACCTTTTAAAGATATGCTCAACTCTGAGGTCATTGATTCTTGGTTCTATTTTCACCTTATCTTTTGAAAGCCAGAGCACTGGGTAATTGGTTGTTCTGGTACTACTGTGTGAGTGTGCCTCCCAAGTCGGTGAAACACGGTTATGTTTATAAGTGGACCTGTTCTCCCAGTTCTTCTGATTTTCCTACTAAGTGCTTTTCATCAGTTTCTCTTAACTTAAACTAATACTTAAAAAAAAAAGAAAAAAATTCAGAACCCTAAAGTACTGGTTAAGGATGCTGAGAAGAAGAGATAGTATTAAAGGTTTAAAAGTATAGCTTAAAGTTTAAAAGTTTCCAGGAAAGAGCTCCTTTCCATAAAGGAATGTTTGGTTTTGTTTTTTTTTTCCCCAACATCTAAATGTTCATTTTGGCAGCAGCAAAGAACCTGAAATTTTGGGTGTTGGGGTGTTTTGTTTGTTTGATTTAAATAAAAATGTCTTAATCTGCTTATTAGGAATGATTAAAGATAAATAAACTCCTATAATAGGAAGTGGGAAAGGAGGTTATGGAGATGATCACAGGAATTCCTTGGTACATACTTGAGAGAACTGGAAGTTATAACCAGCTACGAGATGGAGAGACATCCATAGCAGAAATAGCCTTTTTTGTCGTTCTTTAACAACTAAATGGGCTTCACTGTCCCAGCAAGGCAACTTGAGAGAGCTGTGCCCTTAACTGCTTTTGTTTCTTAGCCTTTGAAGATGCTGACAGTGCTGTGGATGATCGAGATAGTGACTATCGCAGCGAGACGAGTAACAGCATTCCTCCTCCGTACCACACGACTGCGCAGCCCAATGCCTCTGTGCACCAGTTCACTGTACCATCACGCCTGCAGCAGCAAGGGGTCTTGCGGGAATCCTGCGCTGACTCCCTGCAAAACTACGATCTGGATTATCGGGAGCATGTAGCCATCAGGTGGGTGCTGTCTTCTGGGTAGCTCTTCTTTTCCCATTGATTTTCCATAGCAGACCCTGAAGGTGCCATGTTAGTAGAGGAAGGCAGCTCAAGGGCTCTGAAAGGCTTCTGACAGGAAGGTGTTAGATGTTTTGTTAACACTGGGACTCAGCTGTGAACCAGGAAGAACCCATAAGGCTATGTGTTACACCAGATCCAGCAGTTTAGTGAATTACCTTTTAAAGATATGCTCAACTCTGAGGTCATTGATTCTTGGTTCTATTTTCACCTTATCTTTTGAAAGCCAGAGCACTGGGTAATTGGTTGTTCTGGTACTACTGTGTGAGTGTGCCTCCCAAGTCGGTGAAACACGGTTAGCAGAGTTATCCTGGAGTTTCTAGCAGAGTATCTAGGAGTTTCTTTCTTGGGGCAGATTTATTTTCTGTTTCAGATTAGCTCCTGTTCTTCTATTAGCTCTGCCAAAACAGTGTATTCAGGAAGAAAGCCTGTAACCAATTAGGGTTTTTTTTCTGTTATCATGTAGCACTGTTGAATAGTGTGTTTTCTCTTTTGGTTTCCTTTGAGCTGTGTGAAAGATAGTTTACTTGCTCTAAATTAGCTTTTTGACCATAAATCAGCAGTTTCACAACTGCTTTTATCTTTTTTAAGTATTAAACATTACAGCATTAACTTACGAAGATCAATGGCCGTGAACTAGAACTGGTTGTGCTGGGAACTGTAGAAGCTTTACAAAACCGCTGTTCCAAATAAAGGATGAGTTAAGCGTAAGGGGAAAGCAAGAGAGCTTGGACAGTGCTGGTCAGCTTGGTAAGAGTGGGTGTGTGGAACAGGCCATGCTGCTGCTTCTCCCATTTGGTGTGGAAGGAAGAGGCAGTTGCTTAAACTCTGTCACAGTTAGAGGTGCAGGGTTTTATATATATTATAACTGATTTGTTCTACCTCGTGCCCATTGGTAAGAATGTTCTTGTTTCCTGAAGCCTGAACCTGAGTTCAGTTGCCCTCACGGGTGTATGGCTGAGGCTAAATTTTACTCTTTTTGCATTATGGTCTTTAATGGTAAAAGCTGAAGTTTAATGGTAACATTTAATGTTGTTACTGTTATTGAGATTTCAAGCAGCAGAGGCAAATGTGCCAACAAAATGCACTTACTGCAGCGTGACATGTCATTCTTGGTGCTCTTTTCCTAGTCCATTAAATATCTTATATAAGCAAGTTATTCCCTTTCCCATGCTATTTTGTACTGCTGGTTTGCAGTGGTAAAATTGCTGAAGATCTTACTGAGAGTATGGGAAGGTAAGCTGAAGCTTTTTCTTTATGGAAGAGCCAAGCTGAACAGTGGTATTGGGCCCCCAGCCTGGGGAAGCCAGTGGTGGCTGGGTGTTCCTGCAGTTCTGTGACTTCTTGGGGTAATCTTTTATGGCTCACCTTGCTTGGAGGGGCGGCTGTGAACTTTCAACTGTATCTGATGGATAAATGTGTTTATAAGACCTTCCAAAGAAGCACTTCTGTTTTGAATTGCTAAAGAATACCGAGATGGAATGCATATATTTTTTTTTCTGGTTTCTGGAAGGTATTGATATGAAAGGATCTGGGCTGATAAAGTTTGCTTAAAAGCTAAGAGCTTTGTAGTCTGCTCTGGTCTAAAATTACTTTCACTCCAGCAAGGCAAGTCCTAGATGGTGATTGATTCCCTCTGAGCATTCCTGTTCCCCTGTGCATTTTCCACATGCCCAGCAAGATTTTTTGCTACATATTTAATCTTAAAACTTAGAAAATGCAAATAAGTTTTCCAAAGAAGCTATGTGGGATTCTCTTTCTTACCAGAAAGGTATTTGTAATGAGAGCTGGCTGGGTAGATCTTAAATATTTTCAAAACTCAGTTGTAGCTGAGTGTTGCAAAAACCAAATTGTGTTTGACTTTTGCTGCTAGCAGCTCTAAGTGCCATGGACCAGGCAGCCACCTGATGAAATCAGTGTTCCTGGCAGACTGCAGTTGGTGATTGCTGAGGAAATGATAGCTTGTAGGAGGTTGTCCTGGGCAGGCCCAGAAGAACCAGACAAGGTTCTGCTAGAACCTGTCTTGAACTGGGCAAAAAGTTGTCTATGCCAAAATGCTCAGTTGAAACTGCCTGGGTTTTTTTTTCTAACAACACTTGGGTTTGGCTGGAAAAGTTCTGATCCTCTTTATCAGCTGTTACATATGATTGTGTTCTGTTGATAGAAGGACATGTTTTTTATTCCCCCCTCTACTACGGATAACAAGTAGTATTTTTATTTGTCCTTGGAGTGTGTTTTGCTGCCAATAGCCAGTTTGACTTCAGAATAGCACACATCTTCCCCCTCGGATTTTTTTAAGCACTAACTTTTCTTTGCAGTGTTCATTTTGTGTAACCATGTGTCCTCCATGTCTCCCTGCTCTTGCTCTATTTACTTCAAAGGCGATATGATAGCATAGATTCCACTGTGAGTGGCCGAACTGACCTAGAGTCCACATCTGAGTCTAGTCAAATGACAAGCTGCCAGTGCTCGCTAGAGAGCAGGCGCTCTCTAGATCTGTCTGATAGGTGGGTTAACCTCTTTGCAGCCTCTGTGCCTGTCTCTTTGCTGTTGCTGCTGTGAAGTGGTCTTGTGATACATTTCAGCTGATACTTGCTGTTTGCCTTGGCTGTATTTCAGAACTGTGGTAGTTTAATGCTGGGCTGATGTTGTCATCTTTTTCTCCACTCAGGTGTGGGGCTTCTTGTCATTGCTTTATTTCTAGCAAAAGGAATGCTTTGTAGAATAGCAGGGGAAACACTTGGGGGGGGGGGAGGAGCTCAATTAAATGAAAAGTAATTTCTTTTATGCCTAAATTAGTCAATTGTTGGTTCAGCTTTTACAGCTAATGTCTTTTCAGGCATTCATGTAGCTCCCATTGCTTTCAGCTGAGATTTGGAAGGGCTTGATCCAGTAACTATGGTGGCCCTGGGAGTCTTTTAAATTTCATTAGCTTTTTTAAGAAAATTATTTCAATTACAGGCTCAAAATTGCAAGCAAGAAGTGTAGTAGGTGTTTTAAACTGTGCACAACAGGGCTCATTTAAAGTAATGAGTATCTTTCCAATTAGTGTAAGTTAGCTAATGCTGGTGGAAATGAAGCACTAAACCAGCAGTAGTGAAAATGCAATGACCTATTCCCCTTTCAGGGCTATCCCATCAGTACCCTATATTGGGGTGCCCCAGGCAATTCTCAAGGTGAAGACTCTTGTATTAGCAGTAACCATACAATGCCCATGTGCCCTTTGCCCTTTCCCTTCTCTTGCCCTGCTCTTATGGGGTCAGGGCATGCGTGCTCTCATGCTCAGTTCTCAACAATGAATGATGTGAGACAGAGCTGCAGTGCATCTTTCAGATGAGCCTTTTGATTTTTTTACATCCACTTTCTACCTGTTTATTTTTATGTAGGCTGGCAGGAGCTCTTCTTGTGAGATTTAGATGAAGAGGAAGCTTTCTTGCTACTAACCTTCGGGTTGCTGAGCAATTGAGATAATCATTCTGATCAAGGGCTAGGAATTAATCCCAAAATCCCAAGGGTCATTTACTTGGGTTTCTAAGAAGCTTCAGATTGTTTGATAGCAAAACACTAGCTGCTTTAATCCATTCTCCCACAATAGACAAGTATAGATTGCTGGATCTGTTTAGATGCATTATAAATGAGAAGTACAGATCCTGAAAAGCAGCTCAGGCTTACAATGGGCTAATATCTACTGCCAATGTTTTGTTTTGCCTTCTGATCCAGTAACAGCTCCGAGGATCTTCATTTTGTGTTGGTAGGAGCCCCCTGAGGGCATTA